ACCCCCGTTGGCGAGGCGCTCGCCACCCGAGGGGCCATCAGCAGGTGAGGCCCCCGAGAGCAGCTCCTCCCACAGGTCGCCGTCCGGCGAGAGGACCCAGTAGACGTGAGGGTCCACCAGCTCGCCATCCTCGACACGCCGCGAGGGCCACACCACGACGCGCTCATGGTCCATGATGTCGCCGTCATAGCTCACCCGTGCACGAGCGCCGCAGGGGAGATCAGCGCACCACTCCTCCCCCGCGGGCAAGGGGGGCAGGGCCGCCAGGCGCCCGCGTCGGCGCGACATGGTGTCCTGGTCCCTGGCGGCGCTGGCGGCAGCTGAAGCACCTGTCCGCCAGCGAGATCCACACAGGCGAGAGGAGGCTCACCACCAAGTGCAGGCCCAGCGCCGCGGCGCTCGGTCCGTCGCCCACCTCGGGGCAGACGCAGCCGTCGCCCCCCGGCGGCGGCGGAGGCGGTGGCGACGCGGCCGCCAGCTCCGAGATCGCCCGAGCCGCGGCCTCGGCACGCAGCGCCGCCGACGAGGCCTCGATGCAGGCGTCGGCGACCCCGTCGAGCCACACGGGGGTCTCCCTCGGTGGCTCGGGCACGGGCTGAGGTGAGCTCGTCCGCCAGCCAAGACCAGCGATCAGCGCCACGCACAAGGCCGGCAGCGCCGCAGGCACGCCTGAGGAGAGCATGCGGCGTGCCGCCCGTCCTGAAGCCGAAGACAGGCTATGGAGGGGAGAGCGGGGACAAGTGAGAGAAGGCATCCCGATGTTTAAACTTCCTTGGATCGTTTAGCAGGTACTGACATCACCGAATTCAAAAAGCCCAAGCTCAAACCGTTCAAGAACATATATGACGCATCCCCCCGAACCCCACCGGTTTGGACGCCCGAAATGGGTACGGAAAGAATGGGCAAAATGCCCAACAACAAATGTTGTCCCAAACCAACAGCGGCCGCTGTTGGGCAGGCGGTCTTCTGTCTCGAATGGACACAGGCCGCGGCGGCGCGGACAGCGAGTCCTGTTCAAAATGAACAGGAACTGCCGTTGGGCATTGTACCCATTCTTTCCGTGCCCATGTCGGTCGTGCCGAGTCGCGCCGCATCCGTGGACCCATCGGCCATCGTGACGCCACCCATCTGAGGCCCAGAAACGTAACAAAACGAATGGAGCATGCGTGATTTCGCCGTCCAGGGTCATGGCCTGTCGTGGACATTCGCACGCTCGTCCCAGCGCTGAACCGGTCGGGGGCGGCCAAGAGGAGGGCGTCCAAGAGGGGGAGCGTATATCATGGCCGGCGGCACGTGCGCGGCCCAGGGGGGGGGCCAGGGACGTAATGAAAGAAGACGAGGCGACACGACATCTGAGGAAGTGCCATGGCCCACGCCATGATATCCACCCCCCCCGTAGTCATCACCCCCCTCCTTTCGGGCGTTGGCGGAACTGGGTTTAGTAGGACCCGGTTTAGGGATGCGTACTGGGGGGCGCCCCCCCGCCCCGTTCCACTGACTGGAACTGCCGTCGCCCGAGGGAAACGACCCCCGCCCCGTTCCACTAACCGGAACTGCCGTCACCCGAAAAAGCACCAGCTGCGGCAGACCTTTCTTATCATTATTATTACTATTATTATTATTATTACTATTATTATTATTATTATTATTATTATTATTATTGTTTGGTGATTCTGGCCAATCTGGGAGCTCAGGGGCCCTTCCCTGGGGTCCTGGCTATACCCGATCTTGGCCAGTTGCGGCAGACCTGGTGTAGTGAGTCTGGCCAAAAATAGGGGCTCAAGGGGCCCTGCCCCTGACCGGGTCCCCTTACCTGGGGTCCTGGCTATACCCGATCCTCTCAAACGGACACAGGCCGCGGCGGCGCGGACCGCGAGTCCAGCTCCAAACGAACGGGAACTGCTGCTGGGCATTGTGCCCATTCCTTCCGTGCCCGTTTCTCGGGAGCGGCCACGAGGGGGGTGTCCAAGAGGGGGGGGTGCAAATCATGACCGGCGGCATGTGCGCGGCCCAGCGGGGGGGCCAGGGACGTAATGAAATAAGAAGAGGTGCCATAAAATCTGGAGAAATATCATGGCCCCCGCCATGATATCCACCCCCCTAGTCATCACCCCCCTCTCTTCCGCCCCCGAGTATGGGTGTGCGGTGCGTTCGGCAGACAGGGCTGGGGCGGTCCGCGGCGCTCTCTGCCGGCGCTGGGGCGCAGAGTTGCTCGTGGCCCCGCGCGCGGCAGCGGCCCAGCAGCTCCGGCAGCCGCAAAGACGCGGCGGCTCTGCGCGAGGCAGGGGCCGCTTGGGCCCGCGATGTGTGATTTACTACATTGTGTGGGACCCACGGACTGACTCGCTGCTCCCCCTGCTGCTGCCGCTCATCACCCGACGAAAAATAAAAAATACCCCAAACATAATCCCCCCAAACCCCCAAAATAGTATGGGGATTATCTTTTGAATACTTTTGCCCTTTTTGGTGTATTTTTTGGGTACTTGTTATTTGTTATCTTTCGTCGAAAATCCCCCTGTAGGGAGACAGGCCCGACTTCACCCTATAGGGGGCCACATGCGACCCCTACCCCTACCCCCCACGATTTCTGAGGGGGAGGGTGGGGTTCACCTCGTTCGGGAGCTCCCGAGCGAAGTGAACCCCACCCTCCCCCTCAGAAATCGTGGGGGGTACAGGGTAGTTTCTAATACATGGGATTTTTTTTATAAAGGATTTTTGATACATGCTTGATTTGTGAATAAATTTACGCACGAACTCATCGTTGCATGTTTTAATACATGATCCGCACGCGGAGCATGCATCAAAAACTGCACTGTAGGGGTAGGGTTCGCATGTGGCCCCCTACCCTGGTGTTACGTCGGGCGTGTCCCCCTACAGGGGGATTTTCGACGAAAAATAGAAAATGCCCCAAAAATGCCCAAGAAGGCAAACAAAATACTCCAAACATGGTCCCCACACTATGTTTGGATTATTTTTTGACTATTTGGGGGGTATTTTTTAAATTTTTCGTCGAAATTCCCCCTGTAGGGGGACAGGCCCGACTTAACCCTAGTCATCACCCCCCTCTACCTACCAGACCACCCCAACCCAACCCGAAGACCCGAATTTCGGGTTGGGGGGGGTAAGGGTTCCATCTGCGTTTTTTCAATGCTCCCCGACCCCCCCCCACTGGAAAAGGAGGGCAAATTGAGGCCTTCGGGTTGGGTTGGGGTGGTTTAAAACAGAGCTCTGATCGGGATAAATCGCTCCAGAGCGTTCGGGAGCGCTCTCAGAGCGTTCCGGAACGCTCTGGAGCGGCCGCGGCGCCCAATACATCCTCCAAACCCGCCGATTCTCAGAGATTTCGAGCTATCCCGATCCGATTTTGTCCCGATCTTGTCCCGATCTTCGCGTCGTTTTAGAAGGGGCCGTCGGACACTCTGGCGCCCGCCTGTAGCATGAGCGCAGCAGAAGCATCGAGGGTCCCCAGGGGTGGGGCGACTTTGGCCTCGATCTGGGGAGAAAGGGAGAGCAGAGAGAGAGGAGGAGGAGGAAGAGGAGGGAGTGAGGAGGAGGAGGAGGAGGGGGGAGGATGAGGGGGAGGAGGGAGAGGAGGAGGAGAGGGGGAGGAGGAGGAGGAGGAGGTGAGGAGGAGGAGGAGGACCTTTTCTCTTTCTTCTTTCCTTCTTCGTCTTCGTTTTCTGCGCGGCGGCCCGGCCGGGGGCCTGCCGCCACCCCCTGCCGCCCCCCCCCCCCCCCGGAGCGGCGGGCGCGCGGCGCCCCCGCCACGGGGGCGCCGGCGCGGCAGAGCTCCTCCTCCTCCTCTGGAGGCTCCTCCTCCTCCTCCTCCTCCGTCCTCCTCTGCTTCCTCCTCCTCCTCCACCAGTCCTCCTCCTCCTTCCCTCCCCTTCCTTCCTCCTCCTCCACCTCCTTCCTCTCCTCCTGTCCCCTCCTCCTCTGGCTCCACCTCCTCTCCTCCTCCCCTCCTCCTCACTCCTCCTCCTTCCACCTCCTCCTCCTCCGCCCCTCCTCCTCCTCCTCCTCCTCCTCCTCCTGCTCCTCCTCCTTCTCCTCCTCCTGGTGGGGGCGGGGGCAGAGCCCTGCACGGGCAGAGCTCAGTGGGCCCCGGAAACGGCAGGGCCGCTTTTTTCTCCCCGTTTCCGAACTTGGAGGCCCGAGATGAGTACGGAAAGAATGGGTACAGTGCCCAACAACACATGTTGTCCCAGACCAACAGCGGCCGCTTTTGGGCAGGCGGCCTTCTGTCTCGAATGGACACAGGCCGCGGCGGCGCGGACAGCGAGTCCTGTCCAAAGTGGACAGGAACTGCTGTTGGGCAGTGTACCCATTCTTTCCGTGCCCATCTCGGGCGTCCAGACCGAAAAAGCGTCCCTTGAAAATGGAAACGGCAACAAAAACGGCGACCGGAAACGGCAGCAGAAACGGCTCCAGGATGGGAGCCGGAGCGGGAACCCGTGAAAGAACGGCGACGGAACCGGTAAAAACAACGGCGTCGGAACCGGCAAAAATGAAGGGGCCCAAGGACACACACACACATATCTATATATATATATATATGAATACATATATATATATATATATATACACACAAAAAAAGGTTCCCCATCTTTTCCCATATTTTCTGGGTTTTTGTCTTCCCCCCCACTTCCCATATTTTCCAACATTTTCTGGGGGGTCGACGATTAATTGTGTCTGTGTGTGTGTCTTTCCCTCCTGAAAAAAAAACGGCAGAACGGAACCGGTAACAAAAACGGCCCTGTCGTTTCCAGGGCCCACGGAGGGGCAGAGCTGATCGCGGCGGGCGAGCACCGCAGACCACCCCCCTATAGCGCCCAGCCTTAGGTGTGCTGAGCTGAAGGGGCCCTGCGGCACACAAATAGTAGGAAGACGCGGAGAATTACCAGGATTCCCCAGAGGCTCCCATCTTTTCGGAGTGTCTCTCTTCCCCCCACGTCCCATAGTTTCCCATCCTTTCTGGGGAATCGACGGTTAATTGTGTCTGTTTTTTTGTTAACCTCCTGATGCTCTGGACCTGCACCCCGCGAAGCGAGAGGAATCTTTGAGACGCCGTCGTAGGGGGAGCTGGCCAGGGAGAAGGGGTGCCACTCCCAGGTCGAGACAGCTGGGACGTTCACCCACGCGAACTGCCCAGGATGGCGGAGGACGATCAGTCGGCACAAGCATAAACATCCGAAAGTCCGCGGGGATGTCTTGAATCGGCGCTGGAAGTCCCCCCTCTGGCGCGCGTAGCACGCCGTGGGGGGGCGCCGAAGGGGTCGCGGGGGGGGGGGGTGGCGCCGCCGCCGATCCGAGACAGAGGCAGCGGGGACCTGGGAAAGTTTAAGTCTATGCCGCTTGTTCGTCCTCCAGATCGTCGGGAGTGGCCAAGAGGGGGGTGCCCAAGAGGGGGGGGTGCAAATCATGACCGGCGGCATGTGCGCGGCCCAGCGGGGGGCCAGGGACGTAGTGAAATAAGAAGAGGCGCCATGAAGTCTGAGGAAATATCATGGCCCCCGCCATGATCCCCCCCCTGGTCAATCACCCCCCTCTTTGCCGCCCCGAGATAGGGGTGCGCCTTGCTGATCTGGAGCTCCACTACCCCGCCCTCCGCCTCGTAGGTCTTGGCCGAGAGGACAGCTGTGGGCGACGCTACGCCCACGAAGCGCGCCGCGGCGTCTACGAGGTAGAAGGCAATTCCGCCAACCAAGAAGTACCAGGAGCTCTCGGCGTGAATGAGAGTTGATGGAACCAGGACGAGAAAGAAGAAATGGGTGTACTTGAAGATTTCCCAATCCCTGTTCCGGAACAGCGGCAGCACGCCAAAGACGAACAGCGCCGGGTAGGCCACGAGCATCTGGGTGCTGATCGTCCAGTTATCGTAGTTCGGGAGGCCTGCCACGATAACTCCGTCGTAGTTGATGGGGTAGAACTGATGGAGGTGGATTGCGTCATATGGAAAGGAGCCCAACTGGATGTAGCGACAGAACATTGTCAAGATGTGGAGCGTCATGAAAAAGACTGCCGCGCCCCCAAGCCACCTGTGGGTCCACAAGCCGCGCTCCCAGGATATTCCGAACGCCTCGTGCCACAGCGAGTTCTTGCACGCCGGCAGCAGGTTGAGAGCCATGAAGAGCACGGCAGTCAGGCCGAATGTCCTGGCGAGCCGCTCCAACCAAACTGGATCGATGGTCGACTTTGCCTCATGGTACACATGGGACTGGAGCCAGTAAATGAACCTAGACAAAGAAAAAACGCCATGAACATAACCTTTGGGCGCTCCGCGCGGATTTCTGAGATCTGCGCTGGAACCCCCCAGCGGCGCCTCCGGCGCCGCCCCTGGCGCGCTCCGTGGGTCCCAGCGCAGGTCCTGACTACCTACCAGACCACCCCAACCCAACCCGAAGACCCGAATTTCGGGTTGGGGGGGGTAAGGGTTGCACACGTGTTTTTTCGATGTTTCCCGACCCCCCCAAACTGGAAATCGAGGGTAAATCTGAGCCTTCGGGTTGGGTTGGGGTGGTTTGGTGGGTGGTCAGGTCCCAGGAATCCGCGCGGAACGCCAACATTTTGTGTGTTCATGGCGTTTCCTCTTCCTCGAGAACCAGAGCACGAGCATCACGGCGAAGAGCGCGAGCGCGAGCTTCTCGCCGAGGCTCAGGCTCCGCGGGTGGCGCCTGCCGCCCAGGAGCGCCTCGAGCGGCGGACAGGCCGCCGAGGCGGCGGCCCCCAGGGCGAGGACCTCGAGGAAGCCGTAGAAGAGCGTCGTGTCGGGGTACGCCTTCAGCGTGTAGTGGCCCGAGAGCCTGATGAGGCCCGTCTGGAGCCAGGACGTGCTGTCCTAGAGTTCAGGGGTGAACAAGCGGCCCTGCCCTGAAAATCGACGCACGTGGGCCTGCAGGCCTCCTGGCAACCCCCCAGAGCCTAGAGGGCCGCCAGGACGCCGCACATCTCGCAGGGCTTACCCCGTCAGCCCACAGGAGGTTCAGCGCACAGGGCCTCGTAAACCAGGGTAGGGGCGTGTTGTGCGCCCTTGATAGAGGAAACAATGCACAAACACGAGATGTCGGAGCTACGAGCGGATCTCTTGGATCGGCGCTGCCCCACCCCCCTCCTTGGCGCGCGGAGCGCGCCAGCGGCGGCGCCGGAGGCGCCGCCGGGGGGGGGCCCGCACCAATCCAAGAAATCTGCGCGAAACTCCGAAAAGTCAGGTTTGTGCAATTTACTCTGCTCTTGATGATGATGATGATGATGATGATGAAGATGAAGATGAAGATGAAGATGAAGATGAAGATGATGATGATGATGATGATGATGATGATGGTGATGATGGTGCTGATGAAGACGATGAAAATGACGATGACGATGACGATGGCGATGATGATGGTGATGACGATAATGATGATGCTGATGGCGATGATGATGATGATGATGATGATGATGATGATGATGATGATGGTGGTGATGATGATGATTATTGTGATAACGATGACGATGACGATGATGCTGAAGATGATGATGATGATCATGATGACGATGATGATAATAATGATGATGCCGATGACAATGACGATGATAATGATGACGATGGTGATGATGACGATGATGATGACGATGACGATGACAATGACGATGATGATGACGATGATGATAATGATGAAGATGATGATCATGATGATGACGATGACGATGATGAGTAGGACGATGATAATGATGACGATGACGATGATAATGACGATGATGATGACGATGACGAGGACGATGACGATGCTGATGATGATGATGATGATGATGATGATGATGGCGATGGTGATGATGATGATGATGATGATGATGATGATAATAATGATGATGATGATGATGGTGGTGGTGGTGGTGGTGATGATGATGATGGTGATTATGATGCTGATGCTGACGCTGACGCTGATGCTGATGATGCTGTTGCTGATGCTGATGCTGCTGCTGATGATGATGATGACGATGATGATGAGGGTGTGTCCTCCGCATCGGCGGCCGCGTCTACCATCGAGGACGCGACGGCGGTCCGGTTCCACGACATGAACGCGTTTGGCAGCAGAGCCGAGAGCACCCACAGGAAGGGTATCACTACCAGCGCGAGGCCCAACGCCGCAGCCAGCCGCGATGCCCGCTGCCGCTGCGCTGCCCTCTCCTAGAGGAGCAAGAAACTGCACGGCTTCCCCCGGGGCCGTAGGCGACCCGAGGAGAAGGAGGAGGAGGAGGAGGAGGAGGAGGAGGAGGAGGACGGGTCGCCTAAGCCCTTCGGAGAAACCCTCCACAGGAAACTGCATAAGCATAAACTTCTGGAGCTGAACGCGGACTTCTTAGATCGGGCCCGGGCCCCCCTCCGGGCGGCGCCGGAGGCGCCGCCAGGGCGCTCCAGCGCGGTTCCAAGAGATCCTCGCGGAGCTCCAAAAGTTTATGTTTACAGAGGCCTCCTTGGTGGGTCCGAAGTAGCTGGGGTCGGAGGATAGCGGCGCATCGCCGATGCATCGTCGATGCACCGTCGATGCATCGTCGATGCATCGGCGATACATCTGCGATTCCTCCGCGACGTCGGCAATGCATCGGCGATGCCGGCATGGAGAAAATCGGAGTCCGCATCGCGCCACATCGCCGATGCATCGGCGATGCACCGCGACCATCCGACCACATCTACTCCGACCCCATCTCTGAGGCCTACAATGGAGGACAATCCACGAGAAACCTTCCGCAAGAAACCAAGCCCTGAAACCCCAGGAAGTCCATTGATCTTGGTGCGGGAACGTCACGCTCTCCATGACAAAACCATCGAAATCCAAGAAACCCAGGGCACCCTGGAGACAAGCAGGGTGTTTCTTGGCATGGGTCTCCACTGTATGGAAAAACGCGTTCCACTACTCGCAAAGCAACTGCTCGCAAATGGCCGCGATCCGCCGCGGGCGACTCACGATACACTCCATAGAGGAAGAGACATGTTTTTTCCGGACGATTGTAAGTAGGCACTTTGCGAGTGGTGGAACGCGCTCGGTGACTGTATGAGTATCGTTTAACCGATCCCCATTCCCAGCGGTGTGGCCTGGGCCCCACTGGCCGATTCACCCCCCTAGATGGGGATACAGGTCGTTCCCTTCGGGTTTCGAGGGGTGTATCCCCAACTGGGGGGGGTAATTTGGTGGGGGTCTCGAAGGGGATGGGGATGGGGATGGGGATCGGTTAAACGATACTGACTGTAGATGTTGTGCCGTTTTTCGTTCGTCGATCTCCAGCACCGGCGGCCCCCCGCCAGAGGGTGCCTGGCCCACCCTCGGGCCAGCAGCGGGGGCCCCGCCTTCCGAGGGGCAAAGCCCTGCACACCGCAGGAGCTCGACCACAACCTCTTCCTCCTCATCCTCATCTTCTTCATCCTCTTCTTCATGGTATCATTATTCTTCCTATTCTTCGTATTACTATTATTAAGATGGTGCCTATGATTCTTATTAGTAGTGTTATGATTATTAGTATGTTTATTCTGCGCTTGCTTCTTCCTATTATTTTGAATCTTCTTCCTATTATTTTGAATCGTAATATTATTACTCCTCCTCGTGCTTCTGCTTATTATTCTTCCTCCTCCTCCTCGTCTCCTTCTTTTTATTCTGTAGTATCATTATTCGCATCATGAATATGATTCGAATGATTCGTATTATTGTTTGCTTATTCTTCTTATTTATCATTGTTATTCCTCCTCCTCCTGCTTCTGCTTCTGCTTCTTCTTATTATTATTATTCCTCCTCCTCCTCCTCCTCCTCCTCCTCCTATTCCTGGCCTCGCCTTACCCACGCCCCTGCGCGCGCGGCCGAGGATGATACCCTCCGCAAGAAGCCCGACCCTGAGACCCCGGGACGTCCACTGATTTCTGGCGTGGGGGCGCCACGCCTCGCCGCAGCAGAACCATCGAAGGGGGGGAGGAGGAGGAGGAGGAGGAGGGAGGGGAGGAGGAGGATAAGGAGAAGGAAGAGGAGGAGGAGGAGGAGGAGGAGGAGGAGGAGGAGGAGGTGGAGGGAGAGGAGGAGGAGGACGAGGAGGACGAGGCGGAGGAGGAGGAGGAGGAAGAGGAGGAGGAGGAGGAGGCAAGCAGGGCGTGCCTTGGACAGAAACTTCCCCGGAGCTCCGCGCGGACCTCCCGGAACACGGCGCCGGACCCCCCGTGACGGAAGGGGCCCTGGGACACGCAGGGAAACACACACACACAAACACAAAGGAGTGGATTCCCCCTAATTTTCCCATGCCTTGCTGGGTTCCCGTCTTGCCCCCCCGCTGCCCCTATCTTCGCATATTTGCTCTGGGGGAAGCGACGATGAGTCGTGCCTGTGTTTCTTTTTCCCCGCCTGATCCTGGCGCGCTCCGCGCACCAGTGAAGGGGAACTGGGACACACAAATAGATAGACACAACTGACCAGATTCTCCGTATTTTCACATATTTTCTGGGTTTCTGTCTTCCCCCCCACTGCCCATATTTCCCAGATTCTCCCAGGGAAGCGACGATTCATTGTGCCTGTGGTTTTTCTCTCCTCCTGAGCCTGGCGCGCTCCGCGCGCCCGGGAGAGGGGGGGACCCAGCGCCGACCGCAGAACATCCGCGCGGACCTCCACAGGCTTGTGCTTCTGCAGGTTTGAAGGGGCCCCGGGACACACAAGCAAATACACACCAATGAAAAGATTCCCCATCTTTTCCCATATGTTCTGGGTGTCTCTGTCTTCCCCCCCACCTCCCATATTTTTCCATATTTTTCTTGGGATCGACGATTCATTGTGTCTGTGTGTTTTTTCCCCTCCTGATTCGAGGCCTGCCAACACGCGCTTCACGAGGACGGCCCCGAACAGGACCGCGAAGCCCGCGCTCAGCCAGAAGATCCACAGCCCGATGCCGACGAGGACCGTCCCAAGGTCCGCGGTGACGCCGGTGCACCACAGGATGCCGCACGAGAGGACCGGCCAGGCCATCTGGGCGCCGACCCCCGCCGCGGCGCAGGAGCCTCAGCGAGGGGGACGAACAATGACATAAATATAACATAACTCGAAGGTCCGCGCGGATTTCCTGGAAATCGGCGCTGGGGCCCCCCGGCGGCGCTGGG